CACTGAAGAGACTGTATTACCAATGTCTCCGTCTTCAATCTCTCCCTCAACCCTGCTATCCCACTGGCCTCCTTGTACCTTTACCTGACCACAGTCTCTTTTGATCTGCTTAAGATCAAGATTTGGTATCCTCATAGTTAAGGGATTATTATTAGGCAATGATGTCTCGCATTCAGACTCTATAAACAGCTCACCTCCTATCCTTATTCTTTGCTTTTGCAGGGTGGTGGTGGTTGTGGTCATAATGGCACGTCCAAATGTCCACATTCTTCTTTTCTTATTTCTCAGAAGACAGTAATGAGTGAATTTTCTGGATGCATTAAGGACTATTTTTTAAAAATTATTTTGGGGAAGTCTGGGTGGCTCAGTCAGTTAAGCGTCTGCCTTCGACTCAGGTAATGATCCCAGGGTCTTGGGATCGAGTCCCGTGGCTCCTTGCTCAGCAGGGAGCCTGCTTCTCCCTCTGCCTGCCACTCCCCCTGCTTGTGCTCTCTGTCTGACAAATAAATAAAATCCTAAAACAAAACAAAACAAAAACTATTTTAGTAATGAGTTGCAGTTAAAATATATAGGAATAGCTGCTATCAATATCTTCCCTTGCACAAAAGCAAATCTTCCTTTTCTAGCTTTTGCTCTTCTTTGATGATTCTGATTATTCTTCCCTTCCACAGATGATGAAAAATAGTCACCACCAATACTAGACTAGCCACTTGTTTTCTAAACAAACTTTTCAAAGATATCACCGCTCCCACATTCCTTATGCACAGAGATCATTCCCCTCTTTTAGTTTCTGGAGTTATGTGGCATCCAACAATAGAATTGTCCCCTTTAGTTCTGTGCCCAGAAGCAGAATTCCAGGCAACAATTTCAATTCTGCTTAAGTTGTGGTCAAAGATATGGCCTTTGGTGGCTCTCAGAGGTGATTTGTTTTTAAATGACAGTTCTGTAGAAATACTTGGGAGATAATTCAGTTCTCCATTTCTCTAACATCATTTTTTTTTCCGCTAGCAAATATTTTTCCCTTGTGTTTTCCTCCTTATAAATTAACAAGGAAATAAAACATAACTCTTTTTAATAGATTTCTTATGCAAGTTTTATATGGCGTATTTAATGTATTACATGTCTTTGCTTTAGGTCTTGAAATTAAATTCATTGAATATAAAGTGAATTGGGTGTAATTTTTTAAATTCAGTGCTTATTTTTATTTATTTAATTTTAAAGATTTTATTTATTGAAAGAGCATGGATGCGTACAAGGGGGGAGGGGCAGAGGGAGAGGGACAAGCAGACGCCCTGCTGAGCAGGGAGCCTGACCTGGGGCTCCACTTGGGGCTCCACCCCAGGACCCCGAGATCATGACTTGAGCCAGTCAGATGCTTAATAAACTGAGCCAGGCACCCCTTAATTGGTGTTTATTTAAGTCTGGTCAACACTTACATAGTATCACCTAAGGAAGCATTTAAAAAAAGCAGATTTCTGGGCCTACTCTAGATTGACTGAATCAAAATTTCTGTCAGAGGGTGCCAATAATACATTTTCTAAGATTATTACATAATATATAATATGTAAATGATATTATATAAATACATAAGAAACACTATATATATTAACAATTGTCCTCAAATGATTCTTATGGCAAGTTAAACTTTGGTAGCATTAATGATATTAATGATATCAAGTTTATTATTCAGTCCTGAGGCTATTTATCATATATATTTTTTAGCTATGATAGGAAAAACAAAGTAGACAGTTGAGACCATTGATAATTTACTTTGTAAGACATATTGAGAAAATGAAAGACGGTAACCTTGTTGTCGTGTGGTGTTTAGTTTGAATTATCCACAGAAAGATCTCATTGTGGAGCATCATTTTTATGTACAAAAATGAGTGAAAGGTCAGAGGTTAATAGACTATAGCATTTACATAAGACACAATGGCAAAACAGGAATTAGCATTCATAGACTGACGGTAATACTGGGACTGGCCCATGGTAGAATGATAATATATTCTGTTTGGCTCCTATTTCAGCAGAGTTAAAGGGTAAACCGTTAAGCTGTTCATTAGCATTTGTGAGCAACACTCCAACCAACCTCTAGAAATGCTATTAAAACACTAAGTGTGGTTGGGGAGGGGAATGACTGGCAGTGGTAATTATACTTAGATTAACACTAAAAAAATAAACTCAACCTAATCTAAAATTCAGTAATAATAATAATAATAATAAGGTCCCCAAGATAATATTCCAGGGTCCTCTGCCACAGAAACAAACAACAAAGGGGTGTTTTAGGCCTTTCAGATATAAAGATGAGAGCCACTTTCATCTAATGGCCACTTCTGTATGCATTAAAAAAATAAAGACATGTTAAAGTGAGTTTATAAAATTGTGGTATACATTTAACAAAGCTATGCTTTGACTATTCGCAGTACAATAAAACGCGTTTTATTATTCACAGGATAAAGGGTATTTTAAAAATCATAGTGCACTGAGAGTGTAGTTATGGGACATAAATAAAGTCAAATGGACAGTGTTTTCTTTCTTCAGTCACATCACTATATTTCTAACTATGTATAACTCCATTTGGAGATTATAGTCAGTCAACCTGTAAGTTGGAAGGTTTTCCTGAGCATGAAACTGTATTAGTTTCTTGTGTTTGTTGTAACAGATCACAAATAGAGTGGCTTAAAACAAACAAGTTTATTATCTAAGTGTTGTAGATGTGAGCAATCTCAAAATGGGGTGGCAGGGCTACATTTTTCTGGAATTTCTGGTTGAAGAATTTGGTTCCTTGCTCTATGCAGCTTCTAGAAGCTCCTGGCATCCTTGACGCATAGCTTCATATCACTCTGACCTACAATTCAATCCTGACACTTGTTTCTCTGATTCTGACCACTCTCTTATAAGGACACTTGCGATTCTATTGGACACACTTGGATCATCCAGGCGACCCTCCCCAACTGAAGGGCTTTAATTTAATCGCAGCTGCAATGTTCCTTTTATAAGGTCAGGTAAAATATTCACAGGTTTCAGGGATTAGAACATGGGCAACATTGGGAGACCATTATTTTACCTACCACAGAAGCTCAGACCAAAAACCACTCCAAGAACTTTCCCCTTTGTGTGCTCTGCATTGTGATACAGTTGGGGTTTATTTTTTCTAAACCTATCAACTGATACTGCAGAGTGGTTATTACCAGTGGGTCATAGAGGATCTCACTTTCCAAGGTAGGCACTTTTAGCTACTTGTTGCAGAGAAGATAATTTCGTAATGTGGCTGCTACAACTTGGTATAAAACTACATGGAAACTATATTTTTTACCCAAAATATGCATAATAAGGAACTAATTACTTATATCTATAGAAAAAGATACAGAAAAAATGTTGCTTCTTATACTGTGATAGACAAATGAACAGTCTGTCCTTTACTTTCAATACGAGTCTTAAATATTGTCAACATACAGTATAAAAGATCTAAGATTCATAGTGAACAGAGCAAAATTAACATATTTGCTCTGAAACAAAACTAAATCAATAAAACATGATTCTTGCTAAAATTTGTCAAGATTTAATTATTATTAATACATAGCAATTAATATAAGACTTTTATTACTATGCGTTTTTTGCTGAAGATTAAGAAAATGAAAAATAGGGATGCCTGGGTGTCTCATTTGGTTAGGTGTCTGCCTTCAGCTCAGGTCATAATCCCAGGGTCCTGGGATTGAGCCCCACATCCGGCTCCCTGCTCAGCGGGAAACCTGCTTCTCCCCCTTCTGTGATTTCTCTCTCTCTCTCTCTCTCCCTGTCTCTCTTTTAAAATAAATCTTAAAAAAAGTGAAAAATAGCTTTAACTCCACTGTTAGATTAAAAAGGGTAACTAAGATTAATATTAATAGAAACAATGATTTGACTTGCATTTCTGCTTCTGTATAGATTCCTTTATTCATTTACCCATTCAGTTAGTCAACAGGTATTGAGGGTCCAGTATAGGCCAGACACAGGTGTGGTGGTGCTACCAAGTCAAGTGTATTATGATGCTTATTTTTCAGCTAAGAGTCAGTGATATGACAAACTGCAATTATAATGGAGCTAAACACTAATTATAATAAAAGTACTTTTTTGTTACTTTTGTATTGAAAGTACTTTTTTTTAAGATTTTATTTATTTATTTGAGAGAGAGAATGAGAGACGGAGAGCACGAGAGGGAAGAGGGTCAGAGAGAGAAGCAGACCCCCCGCTGAGCAGGGAGACCGATGCCGGACTCGATCCCGCGACTCCAGGATCATGACCAGAGCCCAAGGCAGTCGCTTAACCAACTGAGCCACCCAGGCGCCCCTAAAAGTACTTCTATATTGAAACTCGTGTACTGACAATATAAGTGTATTGAATGTATTAAAAGCATGTTCAGTCACTGATAAATAAAAGAGACATTTTATTTTAATTTTATCTTTAACCTAAATTGGGAAAAATGGGTAAAAATACTGGGTTGGAATATTATAACCTGATAATATTTTCAGCGCCTAAAAGATTCTTTTTTTAAAAATCAATCTCAAATTAACTATTTATAGGTGAAGATTAAATTAGCAAATATTAATAAATATACTTCAATTATGATAAAGTGACTCCATCGGTTCATTCAATACATACTTGTTAAACTTCTTTTCTATTTCAGGAGCTGGGCACAAAACCCAAACCAAAGAAGTAAGGATCCTACTCTCATGGAGTTTACATTCCAGGGACCTAATACAATGGGCTCTGACATTCCAAGTACTTGACTACATTTTTCTGGTAAAGGCGACCAGCAAGGACAGCACTAAATTCCAGGCCTGGAATCCTTCAACTCAGGCTGTACTTCCGTGAAAGGGCCTAAAGGCAGATCTGCCACTTGTGCAATTTTACACGTTATTTGAACATTACAACCTTTTTTCTTTCTCTGTAAAAACCAAACCAAACCAAAAAACAAAACCCCAATAATAGTTGGGTTCTCCTGGAGATTAAATGAGCTAATGTGTGTCGCTTGTTCAGCAATTGTTAGTGTTATTGCTTTGACTCTGTGGGCCCCAAATGAGCCCGCTCATTCGAATGAGCTGGGGATCTTTGAAAACATTCTAAAACTCCGGCCCCCCAGCAGACTAATTAAATCCCAGGGGCTGAGGGTAGGACACAGGTGTCAACACTTTCGGACCTCCCCAGGTAGTTCCAATTTGCAGACAAATTTGAGATCCGCGGCAGTTTGGTTCATATATACGGTTCATAATAACATTTGCCCATCCACCCGTCTTTTCTGAGGTGGAACCAGAAGGTGGAACCTTTAAGCCTCACGAGCTTAAAGGGAGAAATCGAGGTGCACGTTTCTCCCATCCTGTGACTTGAATCCAAATGTCTTTAAGGGGAGAGGGACTGGAGGGCGTCCTGACAGCTACAGCCTCCGCACAGCTGTTAAGTTTAAGGGGCCCCGTAGACATGTACGGAGGGCTGACACTTCCACCCGAGGCGACTGCGTGGCCCGCCAGAGCAGCGAGGAGGCGCGGAACTCAGGCCTGCCGGGGGCGCTGGGCTCGGTGCAGGGGCCGAGGACGCGACGAGAAGCAGCTCGGCGGCTGGAGCGTGCCCTGGGGACACGCCGCGGCCTGGCCCTTGCTGCTCCGCAAGGGCGCCGTCCGCCCTCACCCGCCCTTCTCCTTTACCCCCTATCCCAGCCGAGGTCCCGAGCAGCCGCGGGGCGCTTGGGCCCAGGGCGAGCCAGGCCTGCCGCGCCGCCCGCCGCCATGGAGCCCAGGCCCGCCGCACCGGGGCCTTGTCCCGGCGACTCGCGCGGCGCGGAACAAGCGGCCGCGGCCTCTTCGCTGCACCCTGCCGAGGCCCAGCCCCGGCGCCGCGCTCCCGCCGTGGCTGCCGTGTTGCCGGCTGGGGGAAGCGGGGAGAGGATGGGCGTCCCCACCCCGAAGCAGTTCTGTCCCATCCTGGAGAGGCCGCTCATCAGCTACACCCTGCAGGCCTTGGAGAGGTAATGCGGCGCCAGGCGCGCCCCCGGTCCCCGACCCGGTCTCCCGCTCCCTCCCGGCCCGCCTCGGGCGGCCCGCGACACCTGCCCCTGGTGGTGCTTTGGCGCTGGCGCCTTCTCTCGGCGGACTGCGGGGCCCACCCCACCCGCTCAGTCCCCGCCGCCGACTCGGGCTCTGTCCGCGCTTGCAGTTTAGAGATGGGCGGCTCTGCTCTTCTAACAGACTGGCATGCAAGCGGGGGCTGCCCCACAGAGCCCTTTCTGTGCCCAGGCCGTCGGGCGGGGGGCTGGGGGGAGCCCGGCTCGCGGAGTTGGACTAAGGAAGGAGAGCATGCGTTGGGACTAAGAGGCATTTAGTCTTAACAGTGGCCCCAGGGTGGCCTGATGACAAGCAAGCCTTTTCAGGAGTCTCTTCTGCCTCTGCCTTTTTCTCGGTCTCTTATGTGCGCTCTCCGTGCATGCGTGAATTGGAGTTTTACCTGTGCATCTGACTATACGAGCCTTTGTTCGCTTTATCCATTCATTTATAAACACTAGCGAAGTATCTCTTAGGACCCTGTGTTGATTAAGAGGTGCTGAAAGTGTACCGAGGGGCAGAATTTAATCCAAGCTTTTCAACGTGGATATGGACTTAAGGGGGCGAGATTCTGAAGTTAAGGCCAATTTGTGCTTTATCCTGTTACAAAATGCACTGACTTGTAGGGGATCTGGAGAGGGAATGGTGGTGGGAGGACTAGGGGAGCCTCAGGTGAAAAGGGGGTGTGCTATCCATCTTGCTTTAGAGGGCCAGTAGTATGACTGAGCGTGCGGTGAGGCTGGAGGGGTAGAAATAGGGCAAGTTGCAAAGGTCCTTTGACGTGTTGGGAAGGTGTTGAAACGTCTTGAAGCCAGGGTGGTATTGTGATAGGCCGTTAAACCTTGAAATGAGCCCTTTGTATCTCAAGAGAGATGACCTCTTTTAGCATAGCCTTTGCAGGTGGCTTTGATGAAGACTAAGCTAATGAGTTGCTACTAATCAAAGGACAGTGGCCTGTTACCCAGAAAAGATCTCCCTGCCCCACCATGCTGCACACACCACAGAAGCCAAAGGGCCCACGTTGCTTTGTGTATGCTTATCTTCCTAAATGTTGGCATTTGGAAAACGGAAGGGTGAAGAGTCCTGATCACCCTTGATTCAAGTAATCAGGTTGGTGGTTCCATCTGAAACTCAGACAAACACTGAAACAGTTCCAGGTGCCTACCCCCTATTGTGTAGTCTACCTTTTATCTGCGTATGCATCATTTAACTACAGTATTGGATGCTAGACCTTATGACAACATAGCTCATTATGTAGGTAGTATTACAGGAACAATGGATTTTGGCCAGCAGAATCGAACTGCTTAATTACCAGATGTAGCGGAATGCGGTGTTTTTTACATTTAATTTTCCTTCCTGTGAAGGAAATTCGGATTATTAGCATGTTTGCATCTTCTGAGGGAGCCTGAGATAGGTGGTTACTGGAAAAATCTTTTAAAGTAAAAGAATGTTCCGGGAAGACCTTGTTTATGGAAAAGGGGGAATGTGTTTTCTTTTGATAACAGCAGTGATACAATTCTAATAGTAACTACTTAAATCTCCATTTTGAAATACTCTGGGGCTCATTTTTGTCACTGTTAAAATGCCTGAATAACTTAAGGGATGCTTATATTTGGGGTGTGTTTCAGGAAATCCTTGGAAACCTTGCATTATAGGGGTTTAGGTATGGGTGCTTCTGAGCAATTTCCTAAAGGAAGGGCATTCTCTTGACTGCTAATAGGCTTCCTGGAGCATGGTGCTCCAAAGCCTAGGTTATTTCATCCCCCTGATTTATTCAGGTTCAAATAAGGAAAGGAAATGGAAGCATAAAGTGAATTGTAAAATTCTTACCTTTTGGTCTTTGGTGAAATTATGCATGCTTACCATTTACTAAGGGGAAGCACAGCTCTCAGTATCCCAAATCGGAAAAGCTGTAATTGGGTATCACCACAGTCTGTCATCTGGTTTATTTTAGGACAGTGTCTGCTCTCCTTGACCTCTGAGAGTTGTGAATATGGATTGTGTAGAATTTGATTTCAAAGCTCCTTTGTCCCTCATAAGTTAGGATTTTCCTTTCTCAAACTTTTGCCATCTCACAGAGAAGTTGCTGTGAGTAATCTTCTTAGTTAATCTTGACTAAGAAGGATAGTCAAGAAAAAATGACCCTTATGGTGTGATCTGTCTTCTGGAATTTTGAGCCAATATAAAGCTACAGTGTACAAGAGCTTTCACCTCTGAAGTTTGGTCCACAATTTTTTTTTGAAGATTTTATTTATTTATTTGACAGACACAGAGAGGGAACACAAACAGGGGGAGTGGGAGTGGGAGAGGGAGAAGCAGGCTCCTCACTGAGCAGGGAGCCCAATGCGGGGCTCGATCCCAGGACCCTGGGATCGTGACCTGAGTCGAAGGCAGACGCTTAATGACTGAGCGACCCAGGTGCCCCATTGGCCTATAATTCTTAAATTGGGGTTAGGGAAATGTAAAGAAATGTAGCTAGTTTTGGTTTGAGTTAAACACATGTTTAAATGGCATTATTTCCAGTCTTGCATTTACCCACCCAAAGAGACTAGAAATAGTATAGCCACACAAGGGAAAATGTAAGAGGTGCTGGAGTAGATAAAAGATGATGACAAAATGTTGGAAGAACAGCATGGTAATCAATCAGACTTAGCAGTCCTAGGGAAGTGGGAACAGCTGCGAAGAAGCATTTTGGTTGAAGTCCCAGGCCCTTGGAAAGGTTCAGGAATTAGAGCTACAGGATACTTCGCAAGGTGGGGTAGACAGCTGAAAAACAACCAAACAACAAAAAAAATCAAACCAAAAAAACACAAAACCCAACCGGTTGAAACCTTCAAAAGAAAGCTTTAAACTCCTAGATTGCTGTCAGAATGCTGGAGGCTCATTTTCTGACTCAGCACAGCCAATGGCTGAGTAAGGGGTTCCATGGCCATGGAGGAATTAAGAGCAAGACTGCTGTGTGGAATGATGAGATCCTTAGCTTCCAAGGGAAAATCAAGGGAATGTCTTCTCAAACAACATGGTATATATTAAAGCACCTGTTCTTCAATCACTGAAAATAACTTTTTTTTTTTTTTTTTTTGCCCCCATTGTACTAACAAGGAACTGAGGTCAAGTGTCCTGGTCTCTTATATAACTATTGGTTTATGACCAGAGTTTCTGAAAGAATTATTGCTTTAAAAAAACTATTAATCTGTTTTATTGATTGGTATGTGTTTGTCTTAAGGAAACTGATTTTTGTGGTTGAGTTGGGTTGCTTTCTTGCCACTTGGAAAATCAGTGGAAGTCCTGTTTTAGTAACTTTGACTCCATGGTATGAGTGTGAGTATGAGTGCGTTTGCGTGTGTGTTGTTTAGGTAAATAGCAGTAGTGCAGTTACTGGATCATAGTGGTTCTATTTTTACTTTTTTGTGGAATCTTCATTCTGTTTTCCACAGTGTCTGCCCCGGTTTGCATTCCCATCAACAGTGCATGAGGCTTCCTTTTTCTCTACATCCTTATCAATACTTGATGTTTCTGGTGTTACTAATTTTAGCCATTCTGACAGGTGTGAGGTGGTATCTTGTGGTTTTGATTTGCATTTCCCAGATGATGAGTGATGGTGAGCATCTTTTCATGTGTCTCTTGGACATTTGTATGTCTTCCTTGGATAAATGTGTGTTCATGTCTTTGCATTTTTTAATTGGATTATTTGTTTTCGGGGTGTTGAATTTTGTTTTCTATATATTTTGGACATTAACTATCAGATATGTCCTTTGCAAATATCTTCTTCCATTCTGTAGGTTGACTTTATTTATTTAGGAGGGGGAGGGGCAGAAGGAGAGGGAAGGAGAGAATATTAAGCAGGCTCTACATCCAGCCCAGAGTCCAACTCGGAGCTCCATCCCAGGACCCTAAGATTATGACCTGAGCTCAAATCAAGAGGTGGTCTGTTAACTGACTGAGACATCCAGGTGCCCCTTAACTTTTAGTTTTGTTGATTACTTCACTGTGCAGAAACTTTTTATTTTGATGTAGTCCCTCAACTCAGGAGACGTAAGTAGAAAAATGTTGCTATGGCCAGTGTCGGGTTACTGCCTATATTCTGTCAAGGATTTATATGGTTTCAGGTCTTACAATTGAATTAATTTTTGAGTATGGTGAAAGAAAGTGGTCCAGTTTCATTCTTCAGCATGTGGCTGTCCAATTTTCCCAACATCATTTATTGAAGAAACTATCTTTTGCCCATTGTATATTCCTTCCTCCTTTGACAAGATTAATTGACCATGTAATTGTGCATTTATTTTTGTTTTTTTTTGTTGTATTGATCTATGTGTATTTTTATACTGCTATACTGTTTTATTTTTTAATTATTTTTTTAATTTTATTTTTTTAAGTAATTTCTACACCTAACATGGGGCTCACACTTATAACCCCAAGATCAAGAGTCACGTGCTCTACCAATTGAGCCAGGCAGGTACCCCCATACTCTTTTAATTACTACTACTTTGTAATATAACTTGAAATCAGGAATTGTGATTCCTCCAGTTTTGTTTTTCAAGATTGCTTTGGCTGTTTGGTGTCTTTTTGGGTTCCATACAAATTTGAGGATTGTTCTAGGTCTGTGAAAGATGCTGTTGGTATTTTAATAGGGATTGCATAGATCTGTAGATAGTTTTGGGTAATAGAGACATGTTAACAATATTTCTTCTTCCAGTTCATGAACACAATGTCTTTCCATTTCTTTGTGTCATCTTGAATTTCTTTCAGCAGTGTTTTTTCAGAGTACAGGTCTTTCACCTCTTTGAATAAGTTTATTCCTAGATACAATGCTGTGGCTAGGACTTGCAGTACTGTGTTGAATAAAAGGTGAGCGAGGACATCCTTGTCTTGTTCCTGGTGTTAGGGGGAAAGCTCTCCATTTGGCACTGTTGAGTATATTCACTGT